ATTTTAAATTTGATAAATGGGAGAAATTAATCCATCGAATTCTTCCTTCAATTATTTTTTTAAAACAAGAATAAATTGTTTAGAAAAAATGTTTGACAGATTTTTAAATTTATTTTCGCACTTCTAGATTTATTGTCGATAATACTAGATGTTTACACTATTTTTATTTCACATCTGCTTCAGGTGAAACAATTCTTCCCTTTCAACGTTCAATTTTCATTTTTTTCTTCACTTTCATAAATCATTGGAGCCGCCATTCGAAGTCGTAAATATTCGTCGTGACCATGAATGGCATTTCCTCCTGTTGTGAGTCCGCGGAGGAGTGAAAATCCGTAAAAATGACAATGATCGAGGCGCCATTACCCTAAGAAGCATGCAACTTTTTTCAGATATTTCTTCACTCCCTTTTCGCTGCTGGCAAGTGCTTCTCTCCCATCAGCATTTCATACGGTCATTATGTAACAATGTCTGCTATCTAGGTGGATACCGTAAATAATATCTGAGAAATCGACACGAACGCCCCAATACATCTCCCTTGCACTCGATTTTTCAAGCATTTTCAATAATCATTATCTTCGCGGGGTGAGATAATTGAGGATTAAAAATAGATTTCGCTCGCGATTTAATAACTGCTACCCACGCCAGACGATTTGTCTCCCTTCGGCTTGATTTTAGTAGTGAAAGGTGTATCATGATTGATAGTCCAGTGAAAATGACTCGTCGCCATGAAGAAGAGAGTAATTGAGATGTTGCTACGCTTGAATTGTTAATTTCATAAGAAAGCACTTGAGGAACAAAAACCCTCTTTTTGCATGATAATTCATTCTATCATGAAGATGATGCGCTCATTTTTTTTCGCTCGGAAAGCCAAGCATTTTAATGTTCATCTACTTCCAGAGAGAAAAAAACTCGAAAATTCGACTGGGTGGGAGTGGGTGTGACCCATTACGGGTCGAATTCACTCATTAGAATTAGATTTTTTATACAACTTATTGTATTGAGATATTTTCCGTTGAATTTTCTCGGCTCAAATGTTCCAATTTTTTTTTTGATTTTCTTGATAAAAAAACCGAAAAATAGAATGAAAAAAATTGACCTGTGTTGAAAAATCTTTGGAAAGTTCCATGAATTATGATGACAAGAAATTAATCTCATCGCTTCTATGAGAGGAATCATTAAATTTGTAAAAAAAAGTCATTTTTCGTCGCTTTTTTACAAGTTTTATCGCAAAATCAGTTTTGATTTACGTGAAAACACATCGATTGCGTGAAAAAAAAATCGAATCGCATCGTTCGTCCACATATACAGATCGGGCCTGAAACGCGGAGAAATCATGAAATTTCAATTGATTTTCGGGGTCATTACCATAATTTCGCCCTTCGGGTCAGGAAGTTGAAACTATTTTTTATCTCCGCAAATGAGAATTTTACTCCCACGCAGAGAGAAATATTCAGTAAAAATTACGGGGCTCCCAATTCGCTCACCGATTACGGAATCGACTCAGAAAATTGAAGTGACGATATCCTAATTTTTCACAGGAGATTCAGATAAAAATTACGGACCGCGCGGGGAAAATTCCGTGACAGTTCCGTAAAATTTCCTATAACCACATTTCGCTCCGGAATAACGCGACAATGCAGTTAGAATTATGCAGAAAAGCGTGCGCCACGAATGCGACGATGATGTAAACGTTATTCGTTAAACGGAGAGCGGGTATATGTCTGAAAGACTAACGAAGTCAGTATCGCGGTTGGCTGACCGCCCTGGGAAAACACTACGCACCACCAACGTCTTCGTATAAAAAAAAAACAGCCATGCCTTATCTTGTCCTTCGATTCGATAATATTTCCGCAATTATAATTAATTACACATTATTACGCAATGTGAATTGAGAGTCGTGTCACTTCCGGCGGATGCTGTAGTTGACGTGAAATAATTTTTCATCTTATCACATAAATTTGCATATAAATTCCGTAATGATAGTTCAAACTCATTGAGTGCATTTTATCGAGGGAGAAAGCTGTTCTCAAGTGGAAAGAATCTCTGCGCTTTACCTCAATTATCCGATGGACGAAAAAGAACTAGCGATGCTCATAAATAAAACTTCACGAGTCGCCGGAGAAAATTCGCAACTTGAGAATGAGTGATTTTGAGGAATAAAAAAATCTATTCAAATTTTAACGGTTCAGCGAATGTTTTACCGTTAATAAATCGCATTCATTCAAATATCATCCGGACAAATGATTAAGCCCCCTCGGAATTTTCCCGTAAGCCACCACAACTGAATTTATATTGAAAAAATTATCCTTAATTAATCGATGAATGGAATTCACGATTGGGGCCCCATGCATTATCACCAGATCCAGCCAATTAATAGCACGAAGATCGTGCGTTCCTAGGTGCAATAACAAGGCATCCTCCTCGATCAAACATATCTCTCCTTCTTCCTTATAAAATTCCCCCTTGTGTTTACACCAGAGCCGTACAATCGGGCGCCGCGCAAGGAGCAAGGAGCTTCTTCCCGCGGGGGCGCGCGCGCGCGCCAGTACTTCAATTTTCGCACGCCTCTGCCTTATAACAAACGGGTCTCTCCAGCGCTTGCCCGGTTAGAGTTTCACTTCCTCGTGACGTTGTAATACAAATAGTAAACCTCCCAGCGAGTAAACGCCGGCTGTCATGTAAATAAATTCTTAAATAACACGCGTCGAAGAATTGTGTATTTTATGGCCTGTAACCAACTACTTTGTGAAGTATATGTGAGAAGACTCGGGGGTCCAGCAATGAAGATCGGTCGTAGGCGATGCTTGACCTTCACGACATCGAGTCAGGGTCTAAATTAAATGAGTATATTTGTCATGGACTTGAACAATACTGACATTAGGGAGTTTTGGGTGTGGGGGATTTTTTTTCTACCGTAATGAGGCGCTATTTGAATTCATCAATCGAATGAATACCAAATGTCATCTGTAGAATGACAAAATTACCGTTAAATTATGAAGTTGTCAATTTTTAACGGTAACCTTGAAATTTTTAATATCAAATTAACCATCAATTTGTACATTTAAATTTAGAAATATTATATCAACCAATAATTTTAGAATTAGCCTGTTAACTAAAAAATTACATTTCAGTATTATCAAATATTTTACTCGCCATCAATCGAAAAATTTAGTTTATAAATTTTATAATACTTTAAATTTGTTAAATGTAGTTAAACTTTGAACAATACAAGGAGGTAATCCCTTTTTAATATAAAATCTTAATTGGAAAATCTTCTTCATCTTCTTATGACCTTAATTTTATTCTGTGGCAAGACTGCACTGATTTTTACCTGAGAATTTAGTCTCGAGGTTTAGGTAAAAGTTGTTGGAGTGTTTGACCGAAGTCACTGCGAGCGATATTTATAGGGATTCCCTGTTTACGCACTCAAAATGGCTCTCGCGGCCTCTACGGCCCTTTTGACCCTAATGAGGCACTATTTGAATTCATCAATCCCACAAATATCAAATGTCACGTCTGTAGAATGACAAAATACAACTATAAATTATAAAAAAAATTTCAAGTTACAACTTTCGTCCGACTTCAACCTAAAAACCCCGAAATCTAATTTTTCATTGAAAAATCTTCTTCTTCCTCATCGATTCCGGCGAGCATATCGAATTAACACGTAAATAAATACCACCGACTATTGACATTCCTCACGTCTCAGGTGCTTCTTCCCATGCACCTAACGAATTACGAAAGCCGCGGCTAGCGGTAAGAAAAAAAACCCACACGCAACATCCATTAATACATTTTATTTGGTTTGAATTCACCTCGAGTGTAGTCCCTAGAATTAACACACCATCCTGAAACAAAACGCTGAGGATCACGATAAGATTTAATCAGTGACAACCCGTAGGAATTAAAATACTGTTTCACGGTGAATTCATCGTGTTTGAGAAGTGGGGTCAATTTCACTGGATGAATTGCGAGATTTTTTTTTCCTACGTGAGAGGAACCGTTTCACACTTAATTAATTTCTTCATTAGACGAGACCGTGCTCCGGTTTTATGGTTGTAAATTTGGGGCTCGTGAATGCTCACAGTCATGGCTCATGTTTTTTCATTCAAGCGTTTTCAACTTCAAATACCTTTTGTCGGTCTCGTTTTGACTGTAAATGAAGGCGCATTGTTTAATTTTTCATTTCAAAGGAGGTCCTTGGAGGTCACGGGAAACATGACCGTTTGTCTTTTCAATTCTATCGGTTTGTACTCCCTACGCACCGCGCCTTTTTCAGCTTCATTGTCATCTTTTTTCCCTCTCGTCTCCTCCATTTGTGTTAACGGGTTTCCTTGTCACTCACGTCCGTCGTTATTTCTATTGATTGGATGAAGAAGAACGACGCGAGAGTGAGTGGATTGTTGCACGTTCGAGTGTTAAATTCCCCTGTGTCAACGGGTAATTAATGACGAGTCGAGAATCAACGGATGAAAAATGAGCGCGTTCATTACGAAAATATTCGAAATTCAAATGAAAATTTTTTTAAATTAAGCGTCGATAAGGCGTCTCTCTGCTGTTATCCGCGGGAAGACAGAGTGGAATCCGCCGTAACGACTGATGGATCTAGCAGTCGGGAGTTCCCCGGATTCATAGGTGGCAGGAGCTTTCATAAAACGGATTTGTCTAAATAAACGAATTTCTAATAAACGAATTTCTCACAAGCACGCACGAATGAACAGAGCATGAGTAATTAAATTTCGCATTCAATTTCAATCTGTAAAAATAAAAATTGTCGTTCAACTAAATGAGAAATAACGCAATGATTCGAGATTAATCATTCAGAAGGGATTTCGATAAATCAGATAAATTGGTTTCTCTAGATGGAGATGTCCCCCGATTTAAAAATAGAAAGCGCATTGATTTTTTTGCCATCGCCTGGGTAATCAAGCCCCCCAACAACAGTTTCCCCGAAGTATCCCCTCGATCAAAGCCCTCGAAGCAAAGCAAAAGGGAAAAAAAAGGGAAAAAGGGACTCATAAATATTGGCATTGCGTGAATTACATTGGGCTGATCAACAAGCAAGCGTGCGCACACACTGCGGTATTATTGAGTGATCACTAAGATTGAATGAAAAAATAACTTCGAGGGGAGAATTTTTCCAGCGGTACGGGTGGGTAAAAGCACCGCCGGCAGTCCGGAAGGTATGGGAAGTGAAACCACGTGATATTCATCGTAAACCCGATAAAAAAAAAGGGAAGAAGACGCGGGGAGCCGAACCGGGAGGACGAGGTGAATTTATGAAGGAGGTGGGGATAAAGCCCGGAGATGGGTGGAAACGAGAAGAAAATAATATTGGACAGCGTCAAGACTTCGGCGTCTCCTCCGCCGTAAAAATGTGGAATGAGAATAAAATGAAAAAAGTGGCTGAAACAGACGTATCTGATCGTTTGGCGCCAATTTCTCATTTTTATTAAAAGTTGCTTCATCTCCCATTTTGGACGAAATAGTACTGCACTGAGAGAAAAACAAACACGTTGTCGAAAAAGTCTTATTTGGGCCGATAAAATCGCTAGTTGAAAATTGCCAAAAAAGAATTTGTTTGGTTTGAATTTGAAAGTGAATAATTGTTCTGCTTTAGACAGCAACGGAATATTTGGCTCAAGAGGCGGATAATTCACACCAGACGGTGCCTTTTCAGGATGAAAATATCTCATACAGAGGACAATTTATCGACAAATATCCCAATTTTCTTCACTCAACAGACTCATTATGTTTTTTTTATCCTCACAGGGACCTGACTAATTAATTACCAATGCACAAATTGAGGAATTTGGAGGCCCCCAACCGCACCTCTCATTTTTCATTCGACTAATCCCAATTCTTCCCTTTTCTGCGCAGATTACCACAATGACGTCACTCCTCCTGCTCCTCCTCATCGCAGTATCAGTGACAGCAGTGCCAGTGACCAAAAGTTCAGCGCCTGAAGAGTCGAATGACGTGGACTTGCCGAAGAGGCTCGTGCAGTGGATCGAGAGCACCAAAGAGGCTGAGGAGCCCGAGGAACCTGACGCGAAATTCCAAATCTCTCAGGATAATTCTCGCGCCTCGAAGAAGGGTCGAATGCACAAGGCGTTCTTCCTCAATTATCCCAACACGCCTCAAATCAACAAACCCTCGACACCAGTCGACGACTACAACGACGTGACGGAGGAGAGAGCGCTGGGGCAGAGGAAAAAGTACCAGGACAGCAAGATCTTCTACGTTCGCTTGCCTCCGTCGCCGTATTTCTTCGTTCCGGGGCTGGGGTACATCTCGAACCCCCCGAAATTCACGGGGTCAGCGCTGGGGCCGCAAGTGAAGCCCAGCAGGAATCAGAGACCGCATCGTCCGCAGAACTCCTTCATCAATCTGCCAGTGGACTTTGTCAGCAATGGAAAGCCCACTGGGGTCTACCAGTTCGAGGCTCCGAGGAAGCCGCCGAAGAGGAAGGACACGGCCCTCTCGAAACTGCGGAAGGGGCCCTACCCCTTCAACGGGCGACCTACGAGTCTCTATCTCCTAGGGCCCAATGGAGAGGAAACCAGAAGACAGCCCATCATTTATTCGGACGTCAATGGCAATAATATTTATTAAATTGAGTGATTCGTTATTTCTGGGCATCTCTGGGATGGAAAAAATATTTGAGGGTTCCAATCTTGGCCATAACTCGCAGATCCAACGATTTGCCTCCGATATTGACGACCCTTAGGGCATCGGCACTTCAACTGGGGGTTGAACCTTGATAATACATGAACTATCGTTGATTCATCCCATATTTTCCCGCATGAAAATCACGCGTGCGTGACTCTATCCATGATTTCACCAAGTGGCAATGGGATAACAACTTGCGGTGGCAATTTATCCCTCAGTGTCCTTGAACGATGCATGCCAAACCCTCTTCGACGAATGAGTTGCCTCGTCCTGTTTGATGCTACTCTCGCCACATCTATAAACCGTGGATGTGGACGGGAGGCTGTGTTTAACGAGTGAAATAACATTCAAGTGAAGAATATGACACTTTCCGTCTTCCGCGAAGCAGTGACAGTTGTTAGGGTCATCGGTGAAGGACAAATTACTGTGACGTGCATTTCAGTTTTTAACGATAAGTGAACTTCGCACATGTGATCAAACTGAAAATAGCAAATTATTTTTGCTCAAATACTAGTGTTAACTTATGAAATTTAACATTGAGGCATATTTTTTCTATCGAACAAACTAGGTTAATATGTAATGAATTATTATGAACGTCGGATTGTTGTAGTTTTATCGAAATATCAGAATCACTCTTTGGTCTATTCTATCGCTATAATCTTACTGTAAATATTTGCCAACACGAGAGAAAACTTGGAGTTGTTCAACATTATCTGGAGACCTTTTATTCCGATCCCTGGGGTGTGAAAGCCTGTGGGGCTTGTTGATTTAGGATAACAAAAACCTTGTGAAAAAGTAATGCTCAAGTGTTTTTCGGGGAGATTTATGATTTTTATCGGCGCAGAAGGGGAACGCTCTCGGTTATGTCCGACAGACCGATCCCCCTGCTCTCCTGTTCCCGCTCTCTTTTTTCAGAATGAGACGAGGACGAATGCAATTGCTCACGTCCATCGGGCACTCTTGAACTTATAAAACTGGAACGCTTCGAGTGTAAGAGCTATCGAGCAGGATATTGTGACTCTAATTGCGATTATTACGATGGGGAGGGGAATAACAGTCATTACCGTAACTCATTCAACACCTCGGTGATGTTGAATAATGTAAGGTGTTGCCGCGCCCATATTTATCCTCAACGAGCGGTGGAGACGAGCGTGGTAACAAAGGACTAAATGAGGATGAAAACTCTTCTCCTTCGGGTGATCATTGGAGCTCATTATTTGTGGTGAATAATTTGTGAAAAATATAGAGAAGAGGTTCTTTCTTTTCTGGCTGCACAAAGCCAAACCCTGATCTTGGAGAGAATTCAGAATTCGATTTTACGGTTTCTTTGGAATTTTATTTAGGTTTGCAGCAAATTGTGCGGCAATTTTGATTTTTTTTCCTGATGGTAATTGATATTTAATGAGAAGATGTGAAAAATCGATAAATCAATTATTTGGAATAATAATAATTACGTAATTATTAAGAATAAAAAGATGTTTTAGTGTCGTGCGTAATCTAATTGGGGATTTAATGAGGATTAAGACTCTTCTCCTTCAAGTGATCATTGAAGCTCATTATTTGTGAAAAATATAGAGAATAGTTTCTTTCTTTTCTGGCTGCACAAAGCCAAACCCTGATCTTGGAGAGAATTTAGAATTCGATTTTACGGGTTCTTTGGAATTTTATTTAGGGTTGGAGCAAATTGTGCGCCAATTATTTTTTTTCTTGATGATGATTAATATTTAATAAGATGTGAAAAATCGAAAAACCAATTATTTGAAATAATAATAATGCCACAATTATTAAGAATATGTTGACAATAGAAAGATGTTTTGGTGTCGTACGTGATAAAACTTTATTTCCGGGTGATCATTAAAGCTCATTACTCTTGGCGAATAATTCGCGAAAAATACAGAGAATTTTTTTTTTATTTAAAAAAAAAATACAGAGAAGTTTCATTTTTTCCTCTTCATACAAAGTCAAACCCCGATCTTGAGAAAATTCAACATTCCATTCTCCCCTTTTTTGGAAATTTGATTCACTTTTTGAGTGAACTAACCCAGGGTCATGAGTTTCCCTGCAATTTTGCGCAAAAATTCACGAATATAAAGATGTGCTGGTGTCTCACGTGATGGAACTGGTCGGATTTTCCTCAAAAAAGGAACATCCTCGTTATTTATGAACCAAAATTTGTAGCTTAAGGAAGTATAGACTGGCGTAAAAGACTGCTCCTTAATGGTCTCTCATCACGCATCCCCTCGAAAGTAATAAATCCCCGCATACAAAGAATTATAAATACTTTATTGGCTACATTTTTTCATTCTTCGTCAACTTACAACTAATCCTTACACATTACGTTCATGTATACGAGTACAAAAGGTTTGGAATGTTCCTTACAATTGCAAAGAAGTATCAATAAAATCATGAATAATTTTACAAAATACTCGTGAAAATGTGGAGTTTAACTCCGTCAAAAAATTACTCTCAATAAATTGTATAAAAATTCCACTCGTCTATCATCCACAAATCGTTGAACACTGTTAAAAATTTTCTTACAAATGTTTATCATGTTTAATTTCCACTGAAATTTCAGGAAAACTCGTGATTGAAAAATCAAATATTCTGTAGATTTTCATATTGAATTACCAGAAAATCAATAGAATATTCGATTTTTCAGTTTAATTATTCGGTGAAAAATCGGCAAAATCAGGAAAATTCAAGGAAAAATTGAAAATTCATACAATTTTGATTCTAAATATTCATGTTGCATTGAAAATTCAATCAAGCTGTCAAATCTCCGTCTCACTTCCCCTGAAAACTCATGAATTTCCTCGAATTCCCAGTAAAACTTGACGTCAGTGTCACTTTTATAATAATCACTCCCAGATTTCCCACGAAATTTCAAAAAACTTCTGCCAGTGAATGAGAAAAATGCGTCTCAACAGTGGAGGTATTAACTATACAATGCCTATAATTGTACTCAATTTGCCAATGAATTCCACTCGACTGAAAATCCCGCCAGAGCGAAAAAAAAATGGTCCTTAGAATTTGAGAATTGACATGACCCGAAGTACACCGATGAAAAACTTCCCAAGTCTCTTTCTCTCTCAGTCAATATTACAAGAAAACTCGAAAAATTGTCAATCGAACTGGTCTCCTCCCCCTAATAAAATAATTAATGTCATCAGTCAAAAAATGGATTTCCCCTCGACTCCTCGCTCTCCCTGAATCGATTGATTCCCAACGAGCCAATTCAATTACGGAAGGAGGGGATGATAGTAAACGGGTTTACGGCTTTTCTCCATAACATAGAAGGCCTTAGGTTTCCCGTTCCCAGGGAAGTTCTTGTGGATGCTCGTTGAGCCGGTTTTAGTTGTGATGGGTGCGTAGTAGGACATGGCTGCCTTCTTCCGGTGTTTCTTCGGTTTCTGTAAGCCACTGTTCTTCATTCCATGAAGGTCATTGGACATGGACCAGCTAGCGAGACGATCATTGGACTTCTGAGCGACATGATACATCATCGAGTCCTCGAGTCTGAACATCTTGTGTGTACCATTGACCTTGGCACTGTCGACAATGGCATTGACACGTCTGGTTTCATCGGGATAGTTCAGTATTTTGTCGTTATTTCTCGTGTGCTTGATCGCCGACTGATCACTGGGACTCGTGAGGCTGTTGGCCATGAATCTCTTGACGTCGTCCTTCTTCAGGAGCTTCATGGGGACGTTGAGAAAATTGTGGCTCTGTTTCGACGATCCGCCGGCCATTCTTTCGGCCTCAAATTTCTTCCTCAACTGGTCCATTCGAAATTGCGCGTGCAGCCGCTTCTTCTCACTCATCTTCTTCATGACTGGGAGATTCCAGTGATATATCTTGGCCGGTTTGCCATTGCTGTGGAAGCCAACCGGCGGTGATTGATGTATCACGCTTGAGCTGACGGCATTCTTATTCATCGGCATTTTATTCGCTAGTTTATCATCTTTAACCGGCGACTTGTGGGGCGTCGTTATGGTGTAGTAAGGTGCGCTTGCCGGCAACTTGACGACGTAAACGTGACTGTCACGGTTACCGTGATGCCGGCTGTAGGGCTGATGCAGGCGGGTCTGGAGGCCCGATAATTCGGGGGGTTCTGGGCCCGCTAGGCGCTTCTTGTGGTGGCCGTCGGGGATCTCCAGTGGCACCAGGCCCAGGCGATTCAAAATTGCGGCATTGCTGTTGTGAACTGTCTCAAATGTGTCCTCCAACGACGCCGTCACGCAGCACACGGAGAACATTGACAGCAGACAAAATCTGAAAGGAAAATTACATTTTTGGGATTAGATTTTAAGTTTCTAGACTTTTAAATATTTTTGGGGAATTTCATTGACAATGAAATTTTGAGGAATTTCGTCAGAATTTCGGGGACAATCAGAGGGAACTGTCAATTTCAGTTCCATTTTTCCGTGGGAAGGAATGGAAAACCAGAAAATGCCGGTAAATTTATTCTTGAATTTAAAAAAAAATGAAATTTCAGATTTCATGGAAAATTCTGTGGAATTTGGCACTGAGTATTTAGATTATATTGGAAAGGCAAATTAAGTAGGGAATTCTCGTCTTTATGCTGCTTAAAATTCTGGAATTGTACTGGAATTTTTTTTTCAATTTATCATGTTCAATTTCTACTGTAATTGCGGGAAATCTTGTCATCGAAAAATCAAATATTCCATTGATTTCCTCTTCGAATGATCTGAAAATCAATGAAATACTTGATTTTTCGGTTCAATCATTCCGTGAAAATTCTGAAAAATCAGGGAAAAGTTGAAATTTATTTTATTTTGTTTCTGATAATTTGAAAATCCAACCAAGTTGTGACATGTCCGTCATGCTCCCTCCGAAAACCCATGAATTTCCTTAAATTCTCCCTAAAACTTGAAATTTCTTGACCATTTTTCCCCTAAACCGCATTCAATGTCACTCACATAAGCATTACTCCCACATTTTCCACAAAATTCAAAAAAATTCTGACAGCGTACGGGCTTGACGATTTGGGCTGCAGCTGGGGGATTTGGATTTTATTCCCCCCCCCCCCCCCCCTGTGGTATCAATTCCAAGAAGCCGCAGCAGTCCGTCACGCAATATTCATAAATTAATGTGACCACCGTGCGCCTCGTCCCTTTGAATCGCCAGTCCCGTAATATTATTCCTCCTTCCCAACCATTCTATCTTTCTCGTATTTTTATTCTACTCCTGCTCATTCTTCTTCAGTTATTTTTTGGTCGATTTGCCGAGACCCCCCGGTACGTGGGCCGAGAAGTATGTTGCAGTGAATAATCCGAGAATGTTTATAGTGTAAAAAAAAGGAAACAAGGGGTCTTGATCATTCCGGTCTTTGGAAAAAGGGGGAGAGGATAATTGATTGGTAAATAAGTGGTGCGGTTGGATGGCACTGCAAAAACACAGAGCGGGGCATCGATATTGCGATAAGAAGTGGCGCTAAAACAATTGTTCAGGAGAAACAGAATCGGATGTTTTGTTGCAGTTAAGAATTACTTCAACATAAACTACGAAGGAAAATCACCAAGGAATTATTCTAAAAGACAAAATTGCTCGTCATAATTTCGTTTTCAATGAGATGAGTCACCACTTTCTAAGCCATGAGCTCCCAACATCGCGTCACCGGTCCCATTGGCCACCCGAATTCTTCGTTTTATTTGGTCCTCCTGAGGAATCGTTTGTTCGTCGTTCGTTCGTCCTGAAAACACTGATTACTCTACCTCCAGACTGATCCTTCGGAGACCTTCACTGGAATGCGGAAGGACGAGACATAATGAATAATCATATCGACTCATCCCAGGTAAATCGGAATTTCACGATTTCCGAAGTGTCGAGGGGAATGAGGAAGTGGAATTATCTTAAATCTATATCAAACGCCTTCGCGAGCGCCAAGTTTTCTGGGAGTTACCAGTTGGCTTGTACCAGGAGTAAGATACGTCGACTTAGTTGTTCATATGCCGCTTCTCTTATTCGGTCCCCCTCTTCAGTGGTTTTCATGGGAGTTTGTTCACCCTGCCCAGCAGGAACGGCAACACCAACTTGTGGATTATGTATAGAATGGTGTATGCCAACATTCTGGTGTTCATGTGTACACGCACGTACACACCTCTCACTGCTGTTCATAAATCCACACGTGAGAGGAGTGTCGTGCATTGTCTCATGCTTTCCGAGCAAAGGTAATATCCAGCTGAAATTGCACTGCAGGACGTTGACATGATGTTGCAGAAATAATCGTAAGAAATCGGATTACGAACAAACAAATTGTTGTGTCCCAATTATTATTTGTAATAATAGTAATAATAATAATAGATAGCGAACCGTCTTTAAATTAATTTATACTACTTTATTTTATTTTATTTCCATTTCCGTCTTCACAATTAAATTAATTAATTTTATGTTTATTATGTTTTCCTTAATTCACAAGTTACAACATCGAATGAAGAGCCATTATGTTAAAGATCAATGAAAAGTATTTTCGGGAATTGCGGAAATTTTTTTAATCTATTTTGTTGTATTTAATTGAGGATTGGAGGCTAAAAATTTCATCGGATTATTATTAAGTAAGGCTGCCGTCCCTTCTGCTTAGACAACATGATTCTGGACTGCAGTAGAGCTCACCCTCTGCTTAGATGGAGCACTATCACTCATTTATCCTCATTTACCAGTAAAATAGTATATTTCGTAACGAGTGCAAAAAAGTGTTTTTTGGAGAGTGGGAGGTTTTTAATTTAAATATAATTCCACGAGCTAAAAAACATTTTTTCACGAGTTACGAACAATATTTTTCATCACAATGTGGCGGAAATTGGACTTTTAGGCACGCGGAGCGAGCCAAAAAGTTCACTTTTCGTCACAGCGTGATGAAAAAAAAATAAATCAGCTATTTTCGCAAAAACCCATCGAATCCTTTAAACCTAAAATGACAGTCCCAATTGTTACAGAGAACATGCCCTGATGGAATTTCCTGTAAAAACATTTTACAGAACATGCCTACGTGACTTTTTCGCAGATGTCAATTGTCGGGGGAGTGCACAGACACTAATGATTATAAATGTTTTAGGATGTTAACTCCGGTATTTCCTTCATTTACACGTCCGAATGATTTAGGAGCAAGTGATAGTGTAATAAATAAGGCATTACGAGAGTTACGGGCAATACGTGACCACAATTCATTTAACCCCTTATACCCACGTGCACGGTTTTTCTTGTTGTCAGAAGTGGTTTCAGGGGGAGGGGGCGGCGGGTTCATAAGAAGCTGGACGACGTGCGTGTTGTCCTACCGTTTGCAATTGCATTCTGGCGCGTGACGGTTCGACGTTCAAAAACTCCTGGCCGGCCAAACGCGCTCCCAATCCGTCGACTCATGCACCCAGCGCGTCAAAGTGTGCCGAAAGTTCAGCGACCGATCTCCGCGCAAGGTGATATCAACTCACCTGAGGGGGAAAAAAACAGCAACAAAAAAAAAATACGAGGTTACCCAACCAAGGGATTTCCTCGGGTCACGTCGACGGGAGCGTGTCTCAGAACTTGGCCTCATCAGAACTATCTCCACTATTCGCTGGATTACCGGTGTTGGTTATACACCAGGAAAGGGGCTCCAGTTGGCAACCACACCATCAATGGACTCTCCATTCGAGAAAGAATTTTTCCCAAGTCAGATGTATCGAGCAGTTGTGCTGCCTGACTTGATGGGAAATCTTCCCTGAAGATGACTGAACTCGATGAATGCCCAGTCCTTTGCCATCGATTTGCTCATTCTCTTTAACTCGACAAAGTACTTTTTTCTTGGTTATTCTTAAGTCTCGTCCCCCCTCGGTTTAACCAGCGCTCGTCGTATCGAACGGAATTCTCTTGGCTACGAGTTGCCGAGGGGTGGAGATTTTCTTCGAGAAAACGAGCCATATCTCATCGCTCTCAATGCTTATAAGACTCGGGTAAATAACGTCTCATTTCCCCGCACTCCGAGAATTCTTCGCGATCAAAGAGACGCAAAACCTAACGACGAGTCTATCCTCCAGTGACAGCCACTTCGATGAGGCATCCAGTTTTACCACTGGTGCACCTTCTCTGCATCGCGGGGGGAGCGTTTGGTGGCACAACGATGAGGGAAATTGAATGGAGGCGAAACCGGATGGAATTGAGGAAGAGTAAGAAGAGGATTACCTTCGCTGCTGTATTGCGTTTGAGTTTACTCAGTCGTGTTGACTCGGTGAATTCAGGGGGCGGGGCGAAAAATTGTGCAACTGAGGGAAAGGATTGTTGAATTTTATGTCGTGTTCCTCCGGCTTTTGTAGCTCTTCCGGTTACTGGGGGTTTTCGGACTTTGACGGCGGATATATTTAGTCTTAATGGAGTAGTCGTGTTATTTCATTATACTGTCGGAAATTTTTGTCTGAAATTTCCGGTACACTCTGCGGAAATTTTTATCGAATTTAATTGCCACTCAAATTTCGTCATTGAAAATTCAGAATTTCGAGGAAAATCAAAGAGAACTGTGAGTTTTCGTGCCATTGGCACTGAATATTTGTTTCAGATTGGGAATTTTTATGAATTGATAAATTCTCGGCGTTATGTAGAATTTTCAATTTTTTTTTCAATTTTCAATTCTCAATTTTAAAGGAATTCCCTGAAAATTCGAGGAAATTGAGCAGTTCATATTCATTTTCACTCGAAAACTCATTAGAATTTTCGGAGAAACTTGAAATTTCTTGAATTTTTCTCCTTAAATCGAATTCAAGATTTTTTTTCTGAAAATTCAGCGGAATTTTTTTAAAAGTGCACATGAAACAGAGCACGGAGAGAAATATCCAGTAAAAATGACGGAACGCTCTGGAAAAATGCCGTGATTTTGGTAAAAATTACGTGACAGCTCCGTAAAATTTCCGACAACCACATTTCGCTCCGGAATTACGGAAAAGATACATAATTTTTATTAAATATTTCTCTCCGTGAGGACTTCCGCAATTTTGGTCAGTATTATCAGTATTAAAGTCAGTATTAAATATCATCTTTATTTAATTCGTAAATCCGTATAATTGAATTTATTTATTGGGAATTCCCCACAATTCCCAGCAGGACAAATCGACGAACGCCTTCGCATTCTCTGTTACTCTTTTAAATATTCATCACGACAGAAGAGCTGTCCGAGCCGATGATTCGTGGCAACCGTTACAACTGGAAGGGTCACATTGATAAAAAAATGTTTCTCCATTCAAAAAACATGCGTTCGATTCTCGAAATGTTCATCTGACTTTTAA